AGCTGACATTTACATAGTGCTTTAATACATGTTACCTCACTTGACCTTGTGAGGCAGATGCTAGTGTTTATCCCTATTTTACAGGTGGGGAAACTGAGGCCCAGAGAAGTTACATAACTTGGACAAGGTCAGCTAGTTAATAAGTGTCTAAGGCAGGATTCAAACCCCTGTCTCTTGACAGAGTCCTTCCCACTGTACCATGTCACCTCACATACCAAGGATAGCTGTTATTTTTTTTAAAGGAATTTAAAAAAATTTTTTCTCAATTATATGTAAAAACAATTTTAACATTCATTTTTTAAATCATTTTTGAATTCTACATTCCCTACCTCACTACACCATTCCCCCCTCCTTGAGAAGACAAATACTTTGATGTAGATTATACATGTACAGTCATGCAAATATACTTCCATGTTAGCCATGATTCAAAAAAGAACTCAAACAAATAAACAAAAAACAAGAAAAATAAAAGTTTTAAAAAGTATGCTTTTTTTAAAAAGAGTATGCTTTGATCTACATTCAGACTCCATCAGTACTTTCTCTGGAGGTAGATAGCATTTTTCATCATAAATCTTTTGGAATTGTCTTGGACCACTGTATTGCTAAAAATAGCTAAATCATTCACAGTTGATCATCATTACGGTATTGCTGTCACTGTGCACAATGTCCTCCTGGTTCTGCTCACTTCACTCTGCATCAGTTCATATCAGTCTTCCCAGGTGTTTCTGAGAGCATCCTGCTCACCATTTCTTACAGCACAATAGTATTCCAATGACAGCTGTCATTGTAAATGCCCACAGATTCCTATGTATGCAGACTTAAGTAGGAGGCAGATTCTAAAGAAGGTCCTTCATTTCTCAGATCTGCCACCACCCTCGTACAGGTCCTCATTACCCCCAACCTCTATTTAACTTTAATAGACTCCGTAGGCCTCCCAACTCCGTTCTCTCTCTCTTCCAACCTGGTGTGCAGAGTTCTGGGCTCACACGTCACAACCACGCTTATCTGCAGCTCCTCTTCTTTCTGCTCTTAACTCATAAAAACTTCTCTTTTAGAAATGATGAGCAGGCAGACTTCAGAAAAACCTGGAAAGACTTGGATGGTCTGATGCTGAGTGAAGTGAGCAGAACCAGGAGAACGTTGTACACAGCAACAGCCATGTTGTGAGATGACTAATATTGATAGACTTAACCCCTCTCAGCAATGCAAGTTTCTAAGACGTCTCCAAAGGCCTCATGAGGGAAAATGCTGTCCACATCCAAAGAAAGAACTGTGGAGTTTGAATGCAGGTCGAAGCATACTATTTGCTATTTTTTTCTCTTCTGTTGAGTTTTGTCTCCTCTTTCTGGTGGTTCCTCCTATTGGTTCTAATTCTTACTTACAACATCACTAATATGAAAATATGTTTAATGGGAATGTATATGTATAACCTATATCAGACTGTGTGCCTTCTTGGGGAGGGTGGTGGGGAGGAAGGGGGAGAAAAATTTAAAACTCAAAAGCATATGGAAGTAATTGCTGATAAATCAAAATAAATTAATTTTTTAAAAATCTTCTTTTAGGAGGCAGCTAGGTGGCACAGTGAATAGAGCTCTGGTCTTGGAGTTAGGAGGACCTGAGTTCAAATCCAGCTTCAGACACTTTACAGTTACTAGCTGTGTGACCCTGGGCAAGTCACTTAACCCTGATCGCCTCACCAAAAAGCAAAAAACAAACAACAACAACAAAAAAAAACCCCTTCTCTTTTATAGGTCAAGTTCAAGGGCTAGCTCAAGGCTGGACTTCAACTCATCACTCCTACAAAGCTAGGAACTTAGGGGATGCTAGATCAAAGAGCCAAGTCAACTAGCTCCTAGGATAGAGATATCACCTTGGCAAAGAGTTCACACCTTGTCTAGGAGGGATGGTTCCTTTCCACAACTG